CTCCACTCTCAGGTCATGGAGTAATTGAGTACTAAGCAGTGAATGTGGTAATGCCTCCACCTTGTGGTGAGTAGGAGTAATTGCAGAGTCAGTTGCACAGTCTACAGTGTGAAGATGGGCTTGTAGTCAACAGCTAAACAGCAGACCAACACAGCCTTCCACTGTCCCTAATACTTTATTGGTTTCCTATAGACCTGTGCCCAGCTGAGTGGGCTCAGTGCAGGGGTCACTATTCACCAGGTTCCGGGTGGGGAATGAGAAAGCCTTGGCCCAGCTTCCAGCCCCTCCACAGAACGTGGAGGAAGATCTAGCCTTTTCTGGGCCAGCACAGGACATCCAGGTGGGGGTGAGATCCAAGAATTCAGGCTCACTGATGTAAGCCATCTCAGTTGTGTTTGGAGAAGTATTCCTTGCTGTCATCCACATTGGGCTTGATGGTGTCACTGCCGGGCTTCCAGCCAGCAGGACAGACTAGAAAAACACACAAGGGTGAACACGTGAGGCCCCGCTCCACCAGAGGTCAGGGACAAACCGGCCACGCAAGAGCCTAGGCTGCACAGAGACAGGCTGGCAGCTAAGGGCCGGGGTTCCAGGCTGCACGTGGCCAGAAGCCCTTGTCCAGACAGGTTTCCAGCTGACATTTTTCTGTTCTATTGTTTTGTTTGTCCTGCACTTTTTTTTCAGCCTTGACCCCATGGCAGCCCTGTCTCAGCTGACTACTGGGATCACAGATGTATATCACCACACTCAGCTGCTAATTCTTTCTTTTTATTTTATCTGCTGAAGTAATGGAGTTTGATCCCTGGACCTTTCGCAAACCATGCAGGTGTTCTACACCTAGCTGGAGCTCAGTCTTCTTCTTCTTTTTTTTTTTTAAAAGGGGACTCTGGCTGGTCTACAACTTTCTCCATAGATCAAGCTGGCCTCAAACGTGCACTGATCCTCCTTCCTCTGCTGCCCTACCGGCATGTGCCACCACACTTGGCCCTTTTATTTTAAAATAGTGTCTCACTCTGTAGCCCAAGCTGGCCTCCTGCTTCACCTCCAAAGTGCTGAGATAATAGGCCCATGTCTCCACACCCCTCTCCTTCAACCTTCAACTCACTCACTCTATCAGCCTTACCCTTACTAAGCTTTGTACCTGGGTCAGTTGTCCCATCCATATGACGACGAGGTGCTATGATTGGACTGATGTACAGCTCAGTGAAAGAGCACTGTCTAGTATGTTTGAGGCTTTGATCACTAGTATGCACACACGTCTGCACACAAATCCCAAATGCTCTTTTTTTTGTTTTTGTTTTTCTGAGACAAGGTTTCTCTGTGTAGCTTTGGAGCCTTTCCTAGAACTCGCTCTGTAGCCCAGGCTGGTCTCGAACTCACAGAGATCCGCCTGCCTCTGCCTCCCGAGTGCTGGGATTAAAGGCGTGCCATGCACCACCACCGTCCGGCTCTAAATAGTCTTATAACAAAAACCTGGTGCCAGATATTGGGGTGAATGCTGAAAGATCAGAGGAAACAAGCAAGCCGCAGCCACTTCCCACCTCGCCGACTCCTCAGTTGATTCTGTCTCCACGAATCCTCAGACTGAATGAATGCTCCTGAGTCCTCACACACACGAACTCACACACAAACAATTTTTTAAAGCAGGTATGGTATCTTGTGCCTTTAATGCCAGCACTGGGGAGGCAGAGGCAGGCAGATTTCTGAGTTTAAGGCCAGACTGGTCGACATAACTAGCTCCAGGCCAATATGAATACATACTGAGACCTTTTCTTAAATATATATATGGAGGGAGTAACTCTAACCCAGCTAAGATTAACTTGGGACACTTTTCAAATACCATTTTTTTTTTTTCTTTTTGAGGTAGGTTCTCATGCAGTTTAGGCTGGCCTTGAATTCACTAGGTAGCTAAAGATGACCCTGAAACTCTGATCTTTCTTCTTTGCTTCCCAAGTGCTGGGATTACAGGTATATACCTCATGTCCAGTTTGAGTCTGTCACTGGTATTGAACTCAGGGCTTTGTGAATGCCAGGCAAGCACTCTATCAACTAAGTCAAATTCCCAGCTTGAAATCCTGTAGAAAAGCCTGTTAATGCACTATATACTTTTTTCTGTTTCTTTTACCTTTTTGTTTTTGTTTTGTTTAAGAAAAGGTCTCATTCTGTATCATAGGCTAGCTTCAATCCTGTCTCAGTCTTTCAAGTGTTAGGACGACAGGCATGACCCAGCACACCTAGCTCAAATGCCTTCTGTAGACCTCCACCAGCTCCCAACTCTTCACCTTCTTATACTATGTATACTAATCCCCGCCCCATCCTAGACACTCCTTGCAGGCAGAGAACTGGATTTTGTATGGGGCTTTAAAAAAAATTATATACATGTTTGTTTTGCCTGTATACACGTTTATCTGTGCACTATGTGTGTGCTTGGTGCAGGAGGTGGCCAGAAGAGAGCATCAGATGCCCCGAGACTGAGTAATAGATGCCTATGAGCACATGGGTGCTGGGAATCCAACCCTGGTCCTCTGGAAAAGCAGTAAGTGCTCTCGCCATCCTTCAGCCCTTGTACGGGGCTTTAACATCCATCCACTAACTGACTGCTCTTCCGGAGGACCCGGGTTCAATTCCCAGCACCCACATGGCAGCTCACAACTGTCTGTAACTTCACTTCTAGGGGACCTGACACCTTCACACAGACATACATGTAGACAAAACACCAATGCACGTAAAATAAAAATAAATTAAAAAAAAAAACAAAAAAACAAAACATCCATCCACAAAGATGCTAAGGCAGACAGTTAATGTCTGCAAGCTGGGCAGAGAGCTGAGGAGGGCCTCCCCATTTGTGAATATTCACTCACCTTCCCCATGCTCATCTGTATACTGAAAGGCCTGGACTAGGCGGAGAGCCTCATCCACAGAGCGTCCCACCGGTAGGTCATTGACTGTGATCTGACGAAGGACACCCTTGGCATCGATGATAAAGAGGCCCCTGAAGACATGAGGATGTATGTACAGTGAGAAGCTTGGAGGCCCCCACTACCAGGGCCAGGAAGGAAACACACACACCCCCATTAGCCACAGTGGTCCCTTTAGCCCTTGAGATGGGACTCCTGGGGCTGGACTGAGGTCCCAGCTGTACCTGTAGGCAATGCCCTCGTCAGTTTTCAACACGCCATAACTCTGGGACAAGCTTCTAGTCACATCAGCAAGCAGGGGAATGTTCAGGGGGCCCAAGCCTCCCTCCTTCCGTGGGGTGTTGATCCTGAGGGTGAGAGAGACAGGTTGGGGCCTGAGGATGTCCAGCACAGCAGAATTCTCCCCCACGGGCCTCCAGTGTGATAAGGGCTGGAGTAGGGGTGCTGGAAGCAAGAGATAAAGATTTAAAACAAGGCTGGGGAGCTCCACCCACCCCACCCTGGTGGAGGCAGCACAGCTGGGAAGAGAATGGCCCCAGATAGAGCTTCATCTTCAAGTAGCTTCACTTGTGCCTGGGGGCTGCAGTAACTTGCAGCAGAGAAGCACATTAGAGTTCTCATTAGCCAACAGCAGGGACAGACAGAGCTCAATGGGAGGGCACTTGCCTTGCAACAATGAGACCTTGAACTGACCCCTAGTTCTGAAAAAAAAAAAAAAAAAAGGAGGGGGGAGTTCCCACCATCATCTTGTTGTGCTATCAACCCATCACTTTTGAGAACTAGAGTTTCCCGTTTCATGAAATAGGGCAAGGCCGCCTGTCTCCTGAGAACTAAGCCACGAAACACCTGCAGTTTCCTGTACCTTCCAACTAGCTGCCAAACGCTAATGACTGTCATCACTGTAAGGGATTGGGTGTCATCATTTCCATTCTTTCTAAGATGAAGGAATGGAAGACACAGCTCAGCCCCTAGTTTGGGCTTTCCTGCATCCTCTCTGCACCCCGCGCCCGCGCGCCCGCGGAGCCCCATACCACGCCAGGTGGGTGAACTGAGAGTCCACAGACACTCCGAGCACCTCACAGCCCAGCTTTCGGAAGTCCTCAGCATGGTTGCTAAAAGCGATGATCTCCGTGGGGCACACGAAAGTGAAGTCCAGCGGGTAGAAAAAGAGGACCACGTACTTCCCTAGGGAAGAGGAGAACGGAATTGAGAAGTTCCAGCCCTTTCACATGTGGGACCCAGCCCCACCTGGTCCCCCCAGGCAGCTTCACCTTTGTAGTCGGAAAGCTTGACTTCCTTGAAGGCGCCGTCCACCACCGCGGTGGCCGTGAAGTCAGGAGCCGGCTTTCCGATGTGCGCGTTGCCGGAGGCCATGACTGAAAGCAGAGATCCACGCAAGGCTGGTCAGTGCAGCAAAAGACCCTTTGTCTGGCTCTCCCAAGGTCACTCTTGGGGCCGAGCCCAGACACTGGATCCGAGAGGTGGAAGCAGCAGCACTCATACTCACCCTCCCAGAACAAGGGCTGCAAGGCCTCAGGAAACCCGGCCCCTAAACAGGGCTCGAGTGATGGGGGGTCACCACTGCCACCCGGGTTATCGAGTCAGCCCAAGCGCGGGGGAAGGGACGCGAGCCCTTAGTTTCAGAACGGGATGGCGAGGCCAAGAGCGAGGGGCTGTGAGCTCGACGATAAGGCCTGCAAGCCAGGGCTCTGGCATTTTTTCTCCACCCCCACCACCCCCATCACCCGCAAGGACAAAGGCGGCCACCATAGAGTATGGAAAACAAAGACCGCCAGCAAAGAGGTCGTGATAGGGCCAGAACCACACCAATGGGACTCCTCTCATTCCTGTGCATCCTAGGTTTCCATACCTGCGTGGGCAAGAGCCGGACACGCGGACGACCAGACACGAAAAAACACAGGGAACAGAGATCTCAGAGCCAAGCGAGCCCTAGGCCCGGGAGCTTTTTATCCGCGGCCCAAACCACACGCAGCAGGGCAGGGGGAGGTGGGCGGGACAGCTCGCGGCCGGATCCACTGCGCCTGCAGAGGGGGAGCGCGCAGACGAGTTCACGCGCTTGCACAAGGGGTGGGGTGGGATGGGGTGCCCTTGCGGAGGCCGGGATTGTCTGTGCTGTGGGCTCCGCGCGGGCCTGGGTCCCCGGAGTGCGTTGAGGTCGGTTGGAGTCCGGGCATGGCCCGGAACCGGCTGGCTCTGTTGCTGCCTCCTCTACTGCTCCTGGGTCTGGTGTCCCCTACTCAGATCAGCCCGGAGTACCAGTATTTTGGCCAGGAGGGCGAAGGCGACACCTGGGAGCTGCTGAGGCAGCAGCGAGAAAAGGGTAAATTAGCCGGTGGCGGGAGTGAAGTTTTAAAAAGCCTTACTTGGCCAGCTGGCTACAAACAGACCCTCCTGCGCTGACTCTGCCCAGTTCAGCACAGGCCATGTCCTCAGGGACTGGCCACTTTTCTCTGAGTGTGTTGGTTTCTTATCTGTGAGTTGTTTTTGTTTTGTTTCGTTTCACTTTACTGAACTTTTTGCTCTGCAGCTTCTTTGGTCATCTGATAATAGACACTTATATTCAGCACTGTTCAGGAGATGGGCACTAGGAGACAAAAACAACCTATAAACTTAGTACTAGGAAGGGTGGAGACAGAGAAGGAAACTGGCCAGTCAGCTTGAGCAGTCAGCAAACCATGTAGTGAAGGTGGTGGTAACCAATATAGCCGGAATGACTAGCAGAGGCAAAATTGCAAAGATTGGGTGGCAGTGTCCCAGGAAGAGCGAACAAGTGCAGAGGCCAAAAGGCCTAAGTGGAGGATGGGGAGAGCTGGCTGCTGTTTGGCAGAGATCTGCTGAGGAAGGGTATGAGGCACCAGCCCTCGTGAGTTCGTCTTACATGAGGAAGTTCTGACAAGGGTTGGGTAGCACTAGTGGTTCACTTGGTGAAGCACTGGCCCAGCATGCATGAAGTTCCTTCCCCAACACTGCATAATCCATGCACCGTGGCAGTCCACACCTGCAGTCTAGCATTTGAGAGCTGGAGTCAGGAGATCTGAAGTTTGAGTCATCTTTGGCTACCAAAGGAATTGGAAGCCAGCTTGGAGTACATGAGACTCTAGTTTGTTTGTTTGTTTTTTTTTTTTTTTTTTTTTAAAGAAAGGAGAAAAGAAAGGAAGGAAAAGAGTCCTGTAAAGATGTAGGTTGGGGTGATAGAGCACTTGACCAGAGTGTGTGAGGCTCTAGGTTAAATCTTATCTTTAGCTCTGTACTGAAAAACAAAACAAAACAAAAAAACAACGTTGTAGCTGCTCCTGAGCATAAAAATTACTTTGTTGCTACAAGTTAGCGCAGCACCAGGGGCTTTAAGTACTTTCAATTACGTCATTTGTCTTACGTCTGTCAGCCCCTCCAGTCAGGCGGCAGTGGGCCTGCTGGGTAGTCCCTTAGGACAAGAGTCAACTTTGGATGTCAGGTGTGAAGGACAGAGAGTCCATACTCCCAGCTGAGCAGGCTGGCATGGATTGGAGGTGTCAGTTTGCAGCTGTGGGCTGCTCATACGTGTGTGTCAGCTTGACAGGGTGGATTGCTCTCCCTAGACACCCCCACACGGAGGCAGGAAAGTCCTCAAACAGCAGGTGTTCCTTATCTTTGTCCCTTCCTGGACAAGTCCCCTGTATGGGGGTTAATTTCCCCAACTGGGTTTTCATGTCCACTCTCCATCTCCAGTAGTGGAAGACTCAGTCCTAGGCCCGTGGGGAAAGTGGCGTTGTTTCTGCGATCTGGGCAAACAGGAACGCAGCCGTCAGGTGCTGGGCACAGCACCAGTCCCTGTGTTCATGGACCGGGAGAACCTGATACAGCTGAGGCCCTGCCGGCAACAGGACTGTTCATCTTGCAAACCGATGGACTGCGACTGGCGGGCCTGAGCAGAGGTGAGCAGTAGAGGAGGCACAGGAAAGCCAGTGAGGACTGGCTGGCAGACCCAGGGGAGGCCGGGAGGCAAGATGTGAGGTAGTGGCTGAGGTGAGTACTTGGGCCCAAAGTCTGAGGCTTTATGCTGGTGGGGGAGCAGGCAGCTGACTTTGGACCCAGGAGCCTTTTTGAAAGCCAGGGAGAAAGCAGGAAATGTTGGTGGGAGTGAGCCCTGTTGGTGGTGCATACCTGTGACTCAGGTGCTCGTGACAGAGGCAGGAGGGTCAAGAGTTCAAGATCAGCCTTGGCTACATGGCAAGGTCAGGCCATTTCAAACTACATGAAGCCCTGTCTTCAAAACAAAAGAAGAAAAGGAAAGGGCTGAAGAGAAGATGGTGGTGCGGAAGAGGCACACGATAGAGGAACTGGGACTCAGAGGATGGACCGGGACTTTGATGAGAAACAAGATTCCACACAAAAGGACAGAATCCCATTGATGAAGAGAACAGTAGTGGAGTGTGGTTGGAGTAGCAGAGGGGTCTGGGAGATGTGGGGTTCCCAAGATATCGGAGAGCAGGAGAAGGGAGGAGGGATAGGAAAGGAATCGAGAAAGAAGGCTGCATGGTGTGTGCAGACCCTCACTGGGAATCTGCTGGGGCCCGGATCTGTGATAGTGGTAGAGAAGGCATGGCTTCATTAAGATGGTATGATGGAGCAGGTCCTGGAGGAAGCAGGGTCTTTGAGAGCTGTTAACAGAGGGGTTTTGGGAAATCTGAGTCAGAAGGCCTGAGCCCTGTTGAATCTGGGACACTTAGTACTAGGAACATAGACTATGTGGAATGTGCAGTGTGTTAGCACTGGGGAGGCAGAGGCAGATGTATCCTCTGTAAGTTCAAGGCCAGCCAAGGAGTCATAGTGAATTGCTGGGGGGAAAAAAATGTGTGGAGACCCAGATGTCAAACCTGGATGGCAGGTGGGAGACCAGGACCCAGTGAGACCAAGCCTCTGAGAGTGCAATGATATTTGATCTTTTGTTATTTTGTTTGTTTTTCAAGACAGGGTTTCTCTGTGTAGCCCTGGCTGTCCTGGAATTCAGGCTGTAGACCAGGCTGTCTCTGCCTCCCGAGTGCTGGGATTAAAGGCGTGCGCCGCCACCGCCCGGCTGATATTTCATCTATTAAGTCTCAAAAAAGGTCAGTTGAGTGTAGACTGGTAACCCCACTTATGAGTAGAAGGTCATCCTAGTGCACGTAGTAACTTCGAGGGAGGCAGTCCGGGCTTTATCAGAAATCGTCTCAAGCAAACAAACAAAAAACAGTCAACTGAACTGAACTGCATCTTAATTTTCTCTTTATTTCTCTTTACACACCAGCCACTGAGGGCCTGGCTCCGGCTGCAACAGAGCGGAGTTTGCAAAGTGACCCCGCCTACCCTGGACTACAAACCACGCCCTTAGCGGTAGCTCTCGAAGACTACAATTCCCAGAAGAGAGTACGGCAGGGGCGACAGCGTCGCGTGCGTAAACGACCACGCCGGCCGGTGCGTCGGGGGCGGGTCCTGCGCGCCGATTGGTCGGCACCGAGAGCGGCAACTGTACTCGCGGAAAACGCGCGCGGGGACCTGCGCCTGCAGTATTATTTTCTACAGCTGTTGGCTGTCGCTGAGACGGCATGGATCTCAGCGAGCTGGAGAGGGACAATACGGGCCGCTGTCGCCTGAGCTCACCTGTACCTGCCGTGTGCCTCAAGGACCCCTGCGCCTTGGGCGTGGATGAAGCGGGCCGGGGCCCGGTGCTTGGTGCGCCCCCAGGGGTGTAGGTTGCAGGGGAATGGGAGTGGGGATTAAGCACGGTCTTGGGACCCGGGAGTGATAGCGGGATGTCCTTGGGCCGTGGTGGTGATGGAACAAGGCAGACGGCTTTTAGATGTTCACTGGTTGGAACCCTGCTCTCAGAAATCTGATTTCTCTCCCAAGGCCCCATGGTCTACGCCATCTGTTACTGCCCCCTGTCCCGCCTGTCAGATCTGGAGGCTCTGAAAGTGGCAGGTAAGCCTGGGCTGAATGTCTACACTCGGGGTTCTGGGGTCTGTGCAGGAGAGCAGGTGAGATGGAGGGGGAAGTAGGAACCGAAAGAACCAGCGAGCTGCTCCCCTTTAACTTTCTTCGCAGACTCGAAGACCTTGACGGAGAACGAGCGGGAGAGGCTCTTTGCGAAAATGGAGGAGGACGGAGACTTTGTGGGTTGGGCTTTGGACATTCTGTCTCCAAACCTGATCTCTACCAGCATGCTTGGGCGGTGAGGGGCCCCTTCGTGGGCGGGTGGTGGGAAGCAACCAACACAGGTTGGCTGGGTTCTGCATCTGGGATGGTGTTGACTAAGCTCTGTCCCTAACCACAGGGTCAAGTACAACCTCAACTCCCTGTCCCATGATACAGCTGCGGGGCTGATACAGTATGCGCTGGATCAGGGTGTGAAAGTCACCCAGGTGAGCTGTTGGGTCATAACCCTTTGGTCACCTTCTGATTAAAGGGGCTTTAAAACAATTGAAGCTGGGGATGTAGTTCAGTTGGTAGATTGTTTGCCTAGCGTGCATGAAGTCCTGGGCTTCCATCCCAGCATTGCATAAAGCCAGGGTAGTAGCACTTAGGATGTGGAGGCAAGAGGATCAAGACTTTAAGGCCACTCTTAGCTACAGAGTGAGTTGATGTCAGCCTGGACCACCTGGAACTGTGTTTGTTTGTTTGTTTGTTTGTTTGTTTGTTTGTTTGTTTGTTTTTTAAATAAGGCTGGACATAGTGGAGGAAGGAGAATTGTGACTCCATATATGGAGACCCTCCATGTGACTCAGGGCATATATGGAGACCCTCCATGGCTTAGTTGGTAAATGCCTGTTGCAAAAGCGTGAGTATGAAGGCCATGGTGCATACCTTTCATCCCAGAACTCAGGAGGCAGAGACAGGCAGATCTCTTGAGTCCCAGGATAGCCATCCAAAGTGAGACCCTGTCTAAAACAAGTGTAAGGACCTTGCTTTGGGTCAGTAGCACCCAGTGTAAAGCCAGGCACAATGACACAAACCTGTCATCCCAATGCTGGGATGAGGGAAGATCTTGTGGTCTTGCTGGATAGCCAATCAAGATCTAGGTTTAGTGAGAGACTGCCTCAAAACAAATAAGTAAATAAATCAATTAAACAAATAAATAAAAAATATGTACATATACATTCAGGTGGAAGCCAGATGTCACGGTCAGGGCTTTTCCTCAGTTGTTCAAAAGTCACCCTAGAGCCAGGCTACAGTAAACAGCTGGGGTGGTGGTGGTGGCACACACCTTTAGTCCCTGCACTCGGGAGGCAGAGGCAGGTGGATCTCTGTGAGTTCAAGGCCAGCCTGGTCTACAGAGGGAGTGCCAGGACAGCTAGGGCTACATAGAAAAACTCTGTGTGGGGGGGTGGGGGTCGGGGGAATCGGGCTAGAGAGTCTAGAGCTTTGGCTGCTCTTCCAGAGGACTTGAGTTGGATTCCCAGCACCCACAGGGTGGCTCAGAACAGTCTAACTCCAGTTCCAGGGCATTCCATGACCTCTTCTGGCCTCCTCAAGCAGTACACCCATACACATAAAAAATCTTTTATTTTATTTTTAATTTATTTTTTTATTGTATGTGAAGGTGTCAGGACCCCTGGAACTGGAGTCACAGACAGGTGTGAGCTGCCATGTTGGTGCTGGGAATTGAACCCAGGTCCTTTGGAAGAACAGTCAGTGCTCTTAACCACACTGAGCCATCTCTCCAGCCCCAACACATAAAAATTTTTAAAAGAAATTAAAGTACATGTTGGTTATTTAAAAAAAAAAAAAGATGAGTTAGGGGCTGTTGGGATGGCTTAGTAAGGAGGCACTTGTGTGTCCGTCAGTCTTCCCTGAGTTTGGTCCTTCCACAGGGTAGGAGGAGAACTGGTTCCAAAGTGATTCTGTGACCTCCATGCACTGGTAGTTCATACCCTCCAACATAATGTCGAACAATTAATTTTAAGGGATGGAGAGATGACTCAGTGGTTAAGAGCATTGATTGTTCTTCCAGAGGACCTGAGTTCAATTCCCAGCACCCACATGGTGGCTCACAACCATCTATAATGGGATCAGATTCCTTATTCTGGTGTATATATAAAATATATGAATAAATAAATCTTTTTTGTTGTTGTTGTTTTTTTTGGTTTTTCGGGACAGGGTTTCTCTGTAGTTTTGGTGCCTTTCCTGGATCTCGCTTGTAGATCAGGCAGGCTAGAACTCACAGAGATTCACCTGCCTATGCCTCCCGAGTGCTGGGATTAAAGGTGTGCGCCACCACCGCCTGGCTATAAATCTTTAAAAAATTAATTTTAAAATATTTATTCATATATGGGTGTTTTGCCTACATGCATGTCTGTGCATTACATGAGTGCATGGTGCCCACAGAGGCCAGAAGAAGGTGTGGGATCCCCTGGAACAGGAAACAGTTGTGAGCCACTATATGGGTGCTAGGAACTAAACCTAGGTCATCTGGAAGAATGCTCTTATCTTCTGAGCCATTTCTCTAGCCCTATTAAAATAAAAAATAATAAAATAATATTTTTTTAAAATGAGTGGAATATGTCCTGGCTTTGTAGCTCATACCTTTAATCCCAGGAGGTTTTGGTTTGTTTGTTTTTGATGGTTTTGTTTTTGAGAAAGGGTCTGACTATATATTTCTGGCTGGCCTTGAGCTTGCAGAGATCCACCTACCTCTGCCTCCCTAGTGCTGGGACTAAAGGTATGTGCCACCACCCCGACTGTTTACTGTAGCCTGGCTATAGGGTGACTTTTGAAGAGCAACTGAGGAAAAAGCCCTGACTATGACCTCTAGCTTCCACTTGAATGTACAGGCACCCATCAGCTGGCACACTGATGCACATACATACATTAATGCACATACATATACCAATGCACATGCATACACCAATGCATATGCTTACACCAATATACATGCTTACACCAATGCACATACATACACCAATGCACATACATACACCAATGCACATGCTTACACAAGATGGATGGTACTGTAAGGAGGGTCAGCAGTAGAGGATATGCCTAGCATGCTCAAGGACCTGAGTTACTCTCCAGCGTCAAGGTGGCTCAGCAGATAAGAACACCTGGCAATCTAAGTTCAATCCACATGATGGAGAACTTTCTTCTTCAGTGTCCTCTGACTTCCACAGCCTGGCATGTGTGCATACACACACACACACACACACACACTACAAAAAGTGAATAAGATTTCCTTCAGGGAAAGTTTAGTTGGCAAATTCTGCATTCGAACCAGATTTTATTTTGATTATTCCTGCCCTAAGTATATGCCCCACGTCCCTCTCCTGCATCTCCAGTGGTCCAGAGTGGTCCCGCAGTCCTGCCTATGTCATGGCGCACCCCACACCAGGGTCCCATCCATTTCTCACTGGTCTCACCTTTAGCTGACCCTCTTTCCTCTGCTTTCCACAAAGCAGACAGTCCCAGTAAAATGTATTTTTTTTTAATTTAATGAACTTAAAAAGTTATTTTATGTGTATGGCTGTTTTGCATGCATGTATGTATGTATGTATGTATGAATATCACATGCATGGATGGTGCCCGTAGAGATCAGAAGGCATCAGAACTCCTGCAATTGGAGTTACAGATAGTTTTGAGCCACTATGTGGGTTTTGGAACTGAACCCAGGTCCTCTGAGAGCAGCAAGTGCTCTTACCTGCTGAGCCCTCTCTCCAGCCCCTGTTTGCTTTTGAGGGAAATCACATACCACAGCCTGTCCAGCAACCTCACATGCAGCTATCCCTTGAACTCCTGATCTCTGCTTCTGTCTTCCAAGTGCTGGGATGACAGGCCTCTGCCACCAAAGCTAGGAATGTGGTCCTGGGGCTGGAACATAGGCTTTGAGTATGCTAGGCAAACACTACCTACTGAGCCATATCCCCAGCTCAGATGCGAGGATTCTAATGTAGGGGTTCGCTGCCTTGTCCTCAGCCCCTAGTATGACAGTGAGCACCAACTGCTTAGCCTGTAGCATGATCAGAGAAAGCACAGCTTGTTGAAACCAGTGGTTCTCAACCTGTGGGTCACAACACTCTGAGGGGTCATATCAGGTATCCTGCATATCAAATACTTACATTACGATTCATAACAGTAGCAAAGTTACAGTTACAAAGTAGCAGCAAAATAATTTTATAGTTAGGGTCACCACAGCATAAGGAACCGTAATAAAGGAAGGTTGAGGCCAATGTTTTGGCCAGTGCTGTGGGTGAACCGGAGAGAACTGTTTGCGTATTAAGAGGCAGTCTACCATGAAGCTGTACTTAACCCTGATAGAATAATTTTTTAAAAAATTGTGGGTCTGGAGAGATGGCTCAACAGTTAAGAGCACTTGCTGTTCTTATAGAAGATCTGTGTTCAATTCTCAGCACCCAGTTGGTGGCTCAAAACTGTAACTCTGGTTCCAAGGGATCTAACACCCTCTTCTGGCCTCTGCAGGCACCAAGCATGCAAATGATACACAGACACACATGTAGACAAAATACCTATAATATATAATAAAAATATTTTAAATTTATATTATGCAACATAGGTGTGGTGATATTGTGCTCCCCAATATATTGTGCATCCTAATAAACTTATCTGGGGTCAGAGAACAGAATAGCCACAATATTAAACATAGAGGTTAGGCAGTGGTAGCACATGCCTTTAATCCTAGCATTCCAGAGGCAGAGATCTGCCTGGATCTCTGTGAGTTCAAAGCCACACTGGAAACAGCTAGGCATGGTAACAAGAGCCTTTAATCCCAGGAAGTGATGACAGGAAGCAGAAAAGGTGCATAAGGCATGAGGATGAGAAACTAGAGCCTGATTAAGTTTTCAGGCTTTTGAGCAACAAACAATTCAGCTGAGAGACATCCAGTCTGAGGAAACAGGATCAGCTGAGGAATTGGCAAGTGAAGAAGCTGTGGCTTGTTCTGCTTCTCTGATCTTCCAGCATTCACCCCAATACCCAGCCCGGATTTGTTTTTATTAACAAGACCTTCTAACAATTCGTGCTACACATAGGGAAGCACCTGCCTTTAATCTGAGGCAGGCAGATCTCTGAGTTTGAAGCTAGGCTATCCTGCATAATGAGGTGCAGACTAGCAGGGCTACAGAGTGAGACCCTGTCTCAAAAACAAATAACCCAAAACATTTGTTTGTGGTGTGTGCGTGAGTGCAGACACATGCATGTCATGGCATGCATGGGGAGTCAGGGTAGTTGCAGAGTCAGCTTTCTCTTGTTACCATGTAGGGACTGAGGCTCTAAGATCAGAATGGAGTGCAAGCACCTGTGCCTGCTAAGCCGTTTCCTTGGCCCCCTGCATTGTTTTTTTAAGATTTATTTATTTATTATATATACAGTGTTCTGTCTGCATGTATGACTGCAGGCCAGAAGAGGGCACCAGATCTCATTATAGATGGTTGTGAGCCACCATGTGGTTGCTGGGAATTGAACTCAGAATCTTTGGAAGAGCAGCCAGTGAGCCATCTTTCCAGCCCCGGCCCCCTGCATTTTATAGTAAGTAAGAAACCTGGGGCCTGGAGAGATGGCTCAGCAGTTAATGAGAACCGTTTGCTCCTCCAGAGGATCCAGCTTCAGTTTCCAGCACCTGAATGGGGGCTTACAACTGTCTATGACTCCAGTTCCAGGGGATCAGACCTCTTCTGGCCTCTTTCAGGCACCAGGCACACACGTGGTTCACAGACATATATGCAGATAAAATACCCGTACACATAAGATTAATCAATATTGGGCTGGTAGCTTAGTGGTAGTGTTTGTGTAGTGTGTGTGTGAGACCCTGGGTTCAGTCCTTAGTAGAGTTGGAGACTACATGTTTCACAGTTCTTTATCCGGCTGTTTGTTAAATGGCTGCATTTCTTCCCCATGTTTCTATCACCATGGCAGGTATTTGTGGACACTGTGGGCATGCCAGAGACGTACCAGGCTCGACTACAGCAGCGCTTTCCAGGGGTGGAGGTAACAGTCAAGGCCAAAGCAGACTCCCTGTTCCCCGTGGTCAGTGCTGCCAGCATCTTCGCCAAGGTTAGCGTGCTGCTGTCCAGGGCCCATTCCCAGCATCTCCCTTGTGTAGGGACAGGCAAGAGTCTCCTGAGGAAGGAGACACTAACCTACTGTCTTCCTGCAGGTGGCTAGAGACCAGGCTGTGAAGAGCTGGCAGTTTGTGGAGAGTGTACAGGATCTGGACTCTGATTATGGCTCAGGCTATCCCAATGGTGAGCTGAGGGTGTTCTTGTCATTAAGGCCTTGCGCTTGCTAGGCAAACTCTCTACCACTGAGCTAAATCCCCAACCTGTCATTGAGTTTTAAAAAGTCTTTTATAACACTCTGGAGGCAGAGGCAGGAGGATCTCTGTGAGTTTGAGGCCATCCTGGTCTACGTAGCACGCTCCACAATAGCTAGGGCTATATGGAGACCCTGTCTCAAAAGACAAAACAAATTTCTATTTTATATATATGGGTGTTTTGCCAGCATGTATGTCTGAGCACCGTGTGCATGTCTGGTGCCTGCAAAACACATGGTACACATATGTAAAATAAAAGGAGATATTTTCAAAAAACAAAATGAGGTCTAGAGAGATGGATCAGTGGCAAAGAGCACATGCTGCTCTTGCAGAGGACCAGAGTTCAGTTCCCAGCACCCACATAAAGCAGCTCACAACTGCCTGTAACTCCAGCTCCAGTGGAGCCAATGGTCTCCAGGGACACCTGCACTCATACACACAGAGACACACATATGCATACATTTTAAAATAAATATTTAAAAACCAGAAGAAAAAAAAATTAAAACAAGGCAGTAGGGCTGGAGAGATGGCTCAGAGGTTAAGAGCACTGACTGCTCTTCCAGAGGTCTTGAGTTCAATTCCCATTAACCACATGGTGATTCACAACCATCCGTAATGAGGTCTGGTGCCCTCTTCTGGCCTGCAGTCATACATGCTGCATACATAATAAATAAATAAATAAATACATAGATACATAAATAGATAGATAGATAAATAAATAAATAAATCTTTTTTAATTTTAAGATTTATTTATTTACTATGCATACAATGTTCTGCCTGCATGTATGTCTGCAGGCCAGAAGAGGGCACCAGATCTCATTACAGATGGTTGTGAGCCACCATGTGGTTGCTGGGAATTGAACTCAGGACCTCTAGAAGAGCAGTCAGTGCTCCTAACCTCTGAGCCATCTCTCCAGCCCTAAATAAATCTTTAAAAAAAAACGAGGCAGTGGTGGTGGTGCACACCTTTAATCCCAGCACTCAGGAGGCAGAGGCAGGCCAGTCTCTGTGAGTTGAAGGCAAGCCTGGTCTACAGAGGGAGTTCCAGGACAGTTAGGTCTACACAGAAAAACCCTGTCTTGAAAAAAACAACGAGCGGGTCAGTGGTGGTGCACACCTTTAATCCCAGCACTTGGGAGGCAGAGCCAGGCGGATCTCTGTGAGTTCGAGGCCAGCCTGGGCTACAGAGAGAATTCCAGGAAAAGCGCAAAGCTACACAGAGAAACCCTGTCTCGAAAAACCAAAAAAAAAAAAAAAAAAAAGAGAGAGAAAAAAAAAACAAACGAAAGGCGTGTGGGCCACAGATTCATTTCATACTCTTTCCGTATTGAGACTCCAGTCTCCTTCATTGTAGAAAGGAATGTACTCACATACTTGCTCCCCAAACACACGTGGCCAGACTTGGGCTGATGTGAGGATTCAGCGACTTGAGGCTGGTTACACATCTCAGTGGTAGAATATGTGCCTGTCATGCACAAGACCCTGAGTTCCATCCCACCACAAAATTAAAAAAGGAAAAGAAAGGGTTAAGCTGGCACGATAGTTCTTCCTTATCATCGAAGCAGGAGTGGGAGGATCACAAGTTTGGGGCTAACCTGGACATTTGCCCCAAACAAAAAAATCAATTTGATGACTGTTATCCTTGTGGTTTAGGGAGTTGTCTCAGAAATACTTCCAAAACAGCACTAGTGAGACACAGAATGGGGGTTGGGGGACAGACCACACCTGCCTGTGCCAAGGACCTGGGACAGAAAGGCACTTAAGACACAGGGGTGTCTTGGTGCTCAAAAAGCCAAAGACATATACTCTTAACCCCAGCACTCTGGAGGCAGAGGCAGATGGATGGCCAGCCTGGTCTACATAGTGAAACTGTCTCAACAACAACAAAATGAAGAAGCTGAGGATGAAGGTGGCATGTGGCTGTCGCCTACCACTCAGGTGCTGTCGTCATTCTCTCTCTCTAGACCCCAAGACGAAAGCCTGGCTGAGGAAACACGTGGACCCCGTGTTTGGCTTCCCCCAGTTTGTTCGGTTCAGCTGGAGCACAGCCCAGGCCATCTTGGAAAAGGAAGCCGAAGGTGTCACGTGGTTCGTGTCCCGAGCCTGTTGAGGAGGAAGAGGAGAGGGAGGGAGGCCATGGTGTGTCACCCAGTCCCATGGCAAGTGGCCAGTGTCGTTCCTTCCCCCACAGGGAGGACTCAGCAGCTGAGGAGGATCCTGAGCGACCTGGAACGATCACCTCCTACTTCCTCAGCCAGGGCCCTCAGACCTGCCGCCCACTGGTCCCCCACAGATACTTCCAGGAGCGAGGCCTGGAGGCAGCCAACAGCCTCTAGAAGCAAATGTGTGAACCTGCCCCCTCTTACTCAGGAATTAAAGCTGTTCAGGAGAAGTCGATGGTGTGCTCTGTGGCCAAGGTCTGATAGGAGTGTCCCTATAGCAGCCACTAATTCATCTCAAACAGTAGGCCTCTCTAGATTGGTGCAGTCTGCTCATTTTTTTAAAGTGTCTCTGTGTAGCCCTAGTTTTCTGGAAGTCACCATGTAGATCAGGCTGGCCTTGAACTCACAGTGACCCTCCTGCCTCTGCTCCTAAGTGCAGAGACTAAAGGCCTGTACTACCATGCCCACCTTTTTTTTTTTTAATTTTGAAATTATTTTGTGTATGTATGATTGTCTTTGTGTGGGTGTACAAACACATGAGTATGCACACTTGAGTGTAGGTGTCCTTGAAGTCCATAGGCTTCAAATTCCCCTAGACCTGGAGACAGTTACAGCCTAGTCTGTGTGAGTGAGTGCTGGGATTTGAATTTACTAGGTGCTCTTAACCACTTTTCCAGCCCCTTTTTTTTGTTGTTGTTTTTGAGACCATCTCTACATAGCCCTGGCTGTCCTGTAACTTACTATATAGACCAGACTATCCTTGAACTCACAGAGATCCACCTGCTTCTGCCTCTGGAGTGCTGGGATTAAAGGTGTGCCCTAGCATGCTTGGTCCCATTTTAAAGTTTTTGTCTTGTTTTTCAAGACAAGATTTCTCTGTGTAGCCCAGGCTGTCCTGGAACTCAGTTTGTAGACCAGGCTGCCTCAAACTCAGCGGTCTGCCTCTTGTCTCCTGAGTGATGGAATTAAAGGTGTTGCTAGGTAGTGGTGGCACATGCCTTTAATCCCAGCACTCGAGTGGATATCTGAGTTACAGACCAATCTGGTCTACAGAGCGAGCTCCAGGACAGCCAGGGATACACAGAGAGACCCTATCGAGGGAAAAAAATATGTATGAGTTTTGCGGTTTTGTGTCTCTGCACCGCATGCAATGCTCAATGAAGCCAGAAGAGGGCACCAGATCACCTGCAACTGGAGTTAGATGGTTTGAGCCACCTTGTGGGTATTGGGAATCAGGTCCTCTGCAAGAGCATCAGCGCTGTTAACCACAGAGCCATCTCTTTTCCGTTATCTTCTGTGCTGTTGTGGTGGCGCATGCCTTTAATCCCAGCATTTGGGAGTCAGGTAGGTGGATCTCTGTGTTCGAGGTCAGCCGGGTCTACATAGTTCCTGGTCAGACAAGGCTACATAATGAGACGCCGATTCAAAGCCAAAAATTATTTCATTACATTTATTATTTGTTTGTTTATTTATTTGGGGGAAAGGGACACGAGTGCCACCGCAAATGTGGAGGCCAGAGGACAACTTGCAGGAGCTGGTTCTTTTACTGTGTGAGTTCTGGGGATAGATGTAGATCATCAGAGTTGGCCTGCTGTGCCATTTTACTGGTCTCTGTCTCCTTCCCTTCCTCTCTCCTTCCTCTTCCCCTCTGAGATGACTCCATTTTGGCAGTTCTTCCCAACTACTTCCCCAGGCAGCAGCCACATCGTGTAGCATGGTCTAGGCGGTCACTTTATTCTGGGAAAGAGAGCGGACTAAGCGAGAGTTGGGCCATTTCTAGGAGGATAACGGGTAGAGAGGCCTGTCTAAGCAACCCCAGGGCATGGTTTGGGAGGGAGAGAGGGAGGGAGGGAGGGATGTGTTTCTGGGTGGCTCCTGGCCCAAGGAAGGGACACAAACATCTACTCAGGGCTGTCGCCGCTGCCACTGCCGCTGCCTGCAGCCTTCGAGATCCAGGCGCGAGAGCGGCGGGCGCGTGGAGAGGAGGAGATGGAGACGTTGAGACAGTGACGTGAGCCAGGAGCTGCCACCGGCAGTACGTGGCCCAGAACCGTGCCACACAGGTCTTCTGCGCTGGCGAAGGTCTAGGAGAAAGGGTGGGGTCAGGGTTCGAGAAGGTGGAGCCTGAGTCGCTGGGGGCGGGTCTTCTGTTCTGGGGCGTGGCCTGGGCAATGGGAGGGTCTGGGCGTTCCTTTGAGGGACTGGTGGTCTCTGGCGGGGCCAGAGCCAGGGGCTGGGCGACAGGTGTCCTGGGCCTGCTGAGAACCCAAGCAAAGACAGTAACTTGGAAGGAGACTCTGGAATCAGTGGGCTCTTGGGACACTATCCACACACCCCACACCGAGGCTGGGACTGTGGAAGAGTGGAGCCTGAGGCTAGGGGCTAGGTAAATTGAGATGGGCTAAGATAAGGCTAAGCGCCCGGCTAGAGAGATGGTTCAGCCGGCAAGAGCATTGGCTGCTCTTACAGTGGACCCAGGTTAGATTCCTGGCACCCATGTACTAGTTCACAACCGTAATACCAACTATAAGGGACTCCATACCCTGTACTGACCTCAAGGTACATAGGTGGTGCACATACAGGCAGGCAAAACACTCATACACGGAATAAAAATAAATCTTTAAAGAATAAAGATTAGCCGGGTGGTGGTGGTGCATGCCTTTAATCCCAGCACTCAGGAGGCAGAGCCAGGAGGATCTCTGTGAGTTCAAGGCCAGCCTGGTCTACAGAGCGAGATTCAGGACAGGCACCAAAACTACACAGAGAAACCCTGTCTCTTGAAAAAAACAAACAAACAAAAAAAGAATAAAGATTAGCCGAATGTGGTAACCTACATCTTTAAAGGCATTAGTAGCACTGGAGAGACAGAGGCAGGCAGATCTCTAAGAGTTCAAGGTCAGCCTGGTCATGTAGAAAATCCTTATCTCAAAAAAGTAACTAGTTAAAATTAAAAGACATCAGGAACCTGGGTTTTGGGAGCATGTAGTACCCTGACCCTCTGTTCCTCACCTGCCCGTAGGTTCGGCAGCTGGCTTCACAGCCTCTCTTCCCAGAGGACTGCAGCCAGGTCCGGCCACAGGTAAAATCTGCTTCGCAGGTGGTGAACCTGGGTTTGTGAAAGGGGAAGATGGGTTAGGGCTTTGAAGCCAGCTGGCTTCTAAAGACGACTGTCCTGCTCTCAGATGAAGACCTCATCCTTCAGGCCCCATTCCTTCAAAAGCCCAACCCAACCTTTGCAGGGCTCACTTCCCAGATTTATTTATGTATTTAGAGGCAGGATCTGAAGCTAGTCTAGAAGCTGTTTTGTGTCTGAGGATGACCTTGAACTCTTGACCCTCTTTCCTAAGTACTGGTACCACAGGCCACCACCACCACCACAGTGGTGTTAAAGAAGTCCACTCCCTTCTTCTTTAAAACTTTATTTTAATTAATTTATTTTGGTTTCTTGAGGCAGGGTTTCTCTGTGTAGCTCTGGCTGTCCTGGAACTAGCTCTGTAGACCAGGCTGGCCTCTAACTCACAGAGATTCGCCTGCCTCTGTCTCCCAAATGCTGGGATTAAAGGCGTGCACCACCACCACCACCAGGCTTAAAATTATTTTTAAGTTACGTGTGTCCATCTTGTATGTGCAAAGTGCCTGGGGAGTTCCAAAGAGGACATTAGACCCCCTGGAGCTGGAATTACAAGCAACTGTGAGCCTGACATGGATGCTGGGAACCGAACTCGGGTCCTCTGAAAAAGTAGTTAGCACTCTTAACCACTGAGCCCAGACAACCTATTTGTGACCAGCTCCTTGCGTTCCCACCTCCTTTAGCTCCTCCAAGAGTCGAAAGCTTGAACCTTTTGAAACGTCCTGTCCCCCAGAGCCTTGTCTTCACGCTGTCTTGTCTTAAATAGTAGGCCACCCTCTTCTCATAGACCCACCCTGGCTCGGTAGGGGCGAACTAAGGCCCTGGTCCCGGTCTGCCGTACTGTAGGGCACGCCCCTGTCCCCGCCTCCCTTACCAAATCCCGCAGAGCTCCGGGCAGAGAGGCTGCACTCGGTGTACCCCCAGCAGCAGCGAGTGGAAGCGATTGCGGAGGGCACGTTGAAGGTGTCCCAGGAAGAATTCACATCTGGACGTGGGAGACACAGGGCAGGCGGGGCACAGTTCTCACGGGGAGTTAAGAGTGTGACTGACCCAAGGCAAGCGCTAATAGGGCAGAGAACGGGTCAGGCTAGAGGGCGCAGTACTCACTCCGGGCTCGGCGCACCGCAGCTTTCTAGAAGGATCCCTGGGTTTGATGGCTCTGGTCCGTCTATATCTGAGGTACAACAAGGTTCTGGCAGGGGTGATGTCTGTGAACCAGGATCTTGGATCCTCAGGGAAGGCCGTGGAACCGAGGACGGAGGGTACCCTGACAAAAGGGATTTTATCAGCCATCCCAAAGAGAAAAACCTTAGAGATTTCTCTTGAGCTGAATGAAATGCATGGATCTGTAATCCCAGACACTTGAAGGCTAAAGCAGGGGGAATCTCAAATTTAAGACCAGACTAGGCAACTTAGAGGGATCCTGGCTGAAAATTAAACCAAAAAATAGGGCTTAGTGAAATAGCACTTGCCTAGCATGTGGAAGGCACCTGGTTCAATTCCCATTACTGGAGACATTTTTCTGTGAAATGCAACTTTAAGTAGTAATAACCGAGCATCACCCATAATAATCAGGTTATATCTGTCTGTATTTCTAAGGGGTGGCACACTGTTTATATGCTTAATTTCTACCACACCTGTATGTTAGGTCTGTGATTTCTCCTGTTTATTTTTATTTACTGGGGACTGGATCTAGGGCACTACCCATGTTAGGCACACATTCTGTGAGCTATATCTTCAGCACTATTTATTTTTAGAATTATGTTTAATTAACTTGTGTGTGTGACTGACTGCTCGTGTGCCACAGTGTGTGTGCAAGTGTGGTTCTCCCCCTTCAGCATGTGGGTTCCAGGGACCTGACTCAGGTTGCTGACGAGTCCTCTCATTAGTCCTAATTATTTATTTTGAGACAGAGTTTCATGTAGTTCAGCCTGGCCTCCAACTCCCTATGTAGCTGAGGCTGGCCTTGAAATCCTAATCCCCCTACATCCACGTATGTTCGGGATTACAGGTGGGCCTGTAATCCTGACTCTACCCAGGTCAACGGACTTGCTCAAGGTCACAGAGCACCAAGGTATGGATTTGGGACCGAGCAGAGAGCACCCAGAGGACAGCACTCTTCACCACTCTCATTGCTACACTAAGCCCCTCTTACAAGGGGGATGTGAGTGGGGTTTCTGGGTGTTAGGACCTAGATAGGAAGCTCACCTGCTAGGTGCAGCTGGCTTGTGCCCACATTGGCTGCCAGCCCAGGGTGTCCCCAGAGTCTAGCTTGCAGGGGGTGGCTCCCTCCACAGGCCACCAAGAAGATCCATGCCAGGATCAGCCGCAGGGCCCAGCCCAGCCTGCTGGGTTGAAAGTGGCCTTTGTGGGCCATGTCCACCTGAGACAAGAACCAGCCGATATGGAGGGATGAGGCATGACTATCCTTTTGGAGGCTCAGGTTGGCACTGGCGGGTGCACACCAGAAATCAATGCCAGGCAGCACAGAGCATGGGCAATGCTGGAGGAGGCCAGGGCTCTCCGAACTCTAGGGGGAGTCTCAGCCAAGAGCCCCTCCCAGCAGACACATCCCTCCTATTCCTTCAGGCCCAAACACTGCCCCCAGCTTAAACCACACATGCCAACAATCTCTCGCCCTGTTTGCCCTCTGCTACTAACTTCCTTCAGAGTAACAGAACTACCTCAGCTCTTCCAGGCCCTTTTCCAACCAGGACTTCCTCTCTCTCTTCAGCCCCGCCCCCCTTCTTGCTCACTCCTTTCACGGTCACCTTCTCTCGGTTCACAATCAGCTTAGGAGCTTCCACCCAGGGCTGGACCTTTAGCACCAAGCTGCACAGCGGCAGGGCTGGGGTTCTGCGACTAGGTACTACAAGCTTCTAGGCAGAGGAAGGCAAAGGTATGGGAGACAAGAGTCCCGCCTCCCTTCTCCCTGTCACTCACCTGTTAGCAGGCTGGAGTATAGGAGCTGCGGAGACACCTCAGAACCACAGAACAAGGCCAGCAAATAGCGGCAACTTAAGGGGTGTGGTTTGGTTCAGGGGCGGGGCTTTGGAAAGCCCCGCCCCCACAGCCACAAAACAGGTGCTCTTGGGACTGGTGCATTTATATCCATAAGCTTGCTTTATGTTAAACTTGAGATCTAAGATCTGTCTGTCTGTCTGTCTGTCTCTCCCTCTCTCTCTCTGTGCGGTGTGTTCTATGATGGGTGGGTAATCCTACATCTGTGTCTCTTTTCTGGTTTGTGTGAGAGGATGTCTCTTGGGTAGGTGGTTTCAGGTGTTTATTGGTGCATGCAACTGTGCCTTTCTCCAGTTATTGTAAATCTGTGTCCTTTAGCATTCTGTCCATTAATTCAACATTTATTTATATTTTTTATTATTATTATTATTATTATTATTATTATTATTATTATTTGATTTTTCAAGGCAGGTTCTGTGTAGCTTTGGCTGTCCTGAAACTTCCTCTGTAGACCTTGAATTCACAGAGATCCACCTGCCTCTGTCTCCCAAGCGCTGGGATTAAAGGCGGGCACTACCACCACCTGGCCAAAGACATATACTAAACACACACTCTGAGGAGGCAGAGGCAGGGGAATCTTTGTGTTCAAGGTCAGCTTGGTCTACAGAGTGAGTTCTAGGACAGCCACAGCAGAATCTCTGCCTCAAAAGCAAACAAATAAACAAAGCAGCTCTGTACTGTCTCCTGGGGGGTGCACTTATACAAGATACAACAATCTCAGTCTTCACAGAATTGACTCAACTCGGGATGGATAGTCAGGTGGGGGGAGACAGCGCTGGAGAAGGGAGAGCATGCACAACTTTCAAGCACCTGTATATGAGCTGCGTTGGAAGGAATATGTATCCATGTATTAGGTGGGAATTGTGCACCATTGAGCATCCCTGGGTTTTGGAATTGTATGTCTTGGGTGTTTGTATTTTTTTGAGTGTGCTTGCATTGATAAGTGTCTGTGTGTTTGTGTTTCCTAAATATATGTTTGTATGATTGCAGAGTGTGAGGTTTTTTCAAAGATATCTTTTTTTTTTTAAGATTTATTTATTTTATGTGTGAGTGCTCTATCTGCATGTATGTCTTTATGCCAGAAGAGGGCATCAGATCCCATGATAGATGGTTGTGAGTCACCATGTGGTTGATGAGAATTGAACTCAAGACCTCTGAAAGAGCAGCCAGTGCTCTTAGCTGCTGAGCCATCTCTCCAGCCTGAGTGTGTGTTTTTTATATATGTGTGTGTTTATATACATTGTGTGTGTGTGTGTGTGTGTGTGTGTGTGTGTGTGTGTGTGTGTGTATTTGCTGGATATTTGCAAATATCTATATATGTTGTGGGTGATTTACTTTGCTGATTATGTTTGTAGTTCTCTTTTTTATATTTTACTATTTTAAATTAGGTGTGTGTGTCTGTCTGTCTGTCCATACAGGTCTGTGGATATGAGTGCGGTTGCCCTGTGAGGTCAGAGTCCTCTGATCAGATCCCCTGGGGTTGGAGTTACAGGCAGTTGTGAGCTGCTTGACATGGATGCTGGGAACTGAACTTGGGCTCTCTGCATGGTAGTATGTTCTCTTAACCACTGAGCAATCTCCCCGACCCCTTATGTGTGTTTTTGGAGAATGTGGGTCTTTATTTGAGGAGTATGTACACAGCATGCGTGAACACTTGTTTGTATCTTTGAGGAGTATGAATGTGTAAGGATATGCAGTGATTGTGAATGTATTTGTAGAATACTTGTGTGCACAAAAGTGTATGTGCAAAGCACTGTTTCTGCTTGTACTCATATTTCATATGCATGTTTTTAGAACATATGCATGCATCCTCATAGAATATGTATACCACCATCAGAAATGTGTCTCCCTCCTATCTCAGGGTAAGACAGGCATTTTTAAGACTTACTTTAATTAATTTTAGTATGCATTGGGTTGGTATGTGTGCACTTTACTGTAGGTGCCTGGGGAGGTCAGATGCCTCTGGTCACCTAGAGCTGAGGGTACAAGCTATGATAAACTACTCAATGTGAGTGCTGGAAGCCAAATTCTGGTCCTCTGCAAGAGCATCAATTACTCTTTTTTTAATTTAAATTATTTTATGCATATAGGTGTTTTGGCTGCATGTGTCTGTGCATCTTGTTTGTTCCTGGTACCCACGGAGGCCAAAAGAAGCTATCACATTCCCTGGAATTGGAGTTATGAATAGTTGTAAGCCAGCACATGGGTAGGTGCTAGGAATTAAACCCAGGTCCTCTGGAAGAGCAGCCAGTGTGCTCTTAATGGGTAAGACATCTCTCCAGCTTGTTGTGGAGCTTAGTCTCTCTGGCCCCAAGGCAGGAATGTATTTTTGGTGCTTTTTAATTGCTGAACTCCCATATTACCAAATACTATTTTGCACTTGCACACAGAGCATGCTCAGTAAATGTTGAGTAAGGAAATTAATGAATTAATGCTTCTCCCCAGGAAGGATATCCCTATGTAGCTCAGGCTAGACTTGAACTCCAGCTTCTCTATCTTTCTGTGGGCAACAGTGACATCAAAGAGGCCCCAGGAGCTAAGTCTTACAGGATACAGCCCTTGTCTGGGATAGCTCAAGGTGGTTGTGGGTCATATCTATCGTGTTTGTGGGTTTTGCCTCCCTCAAGACTCTGTGCAACACAGGCCCTCATCACCTTCAGGGTGTTCATATTTCAGCACCGTGGACAGGAGCAGGGGCCAGCACCAGGGACAGCTTTCCTAGTTGGGAACAAGGAAAAATACAAGCCGCGGACAGAGACAAATACAAGCAATAGACTCATTGAGATGCTTCCCTGGCCATAGGGACACAAAGGCGCAACATTAACCAGGCAACGGTTCAGACTCGAGGGTCAACCACCAAGAACACACTCAGACCCAGACCTCGTTGTCGCCTCCGTTGTCTGGCAGAGGTCACTTTAGTCCGGAGACCCTGCCCTCCAAGACCTCAGCTACAGGCTGCCACCCTAGGAAGGCTCTTCCCGCTCTGTCTAGGCTCACAGGATGTCCTCTCCAACGCTGGGAAGTATGGTCTAGTTTGGCCTCAGCTGAGTGAACTGGGGCGGAGTTAAGAATCGCTCTATCTGCCCCCTCCCCAGCTACCAGCTAATCGCTCTTATAAATACATCCTGACCTGGCCTGACTCCTTAATCCTGACCATGAGGCAAAGACTCTGGAGGGGCTACAGGACTTACTTAAGGGGCTCTGTCTTGTGGCAGGCAAATGAAGGCGGTCTGAGTGTATATACACGTTTTTCTGAGGGGAAACTCCCATAAGGACCAGCCTCTTGCTTGAACACATGACTCTGGAAGAATGCATCTGTGGGGATCTGAGGGTGCCCTGGGGTGGAGGCAATTTCCCACAGAGAAGAGAATATGCCTTCGAGTGGTCCCATTGTGGGGGATTTTCTCTCCAGGATCCCCAAAGATGTCCCCGGTGGGGTCTTTGAAGAAATGCCTCTTCAGGAAGGGGGAAATTGAGATGAAGGGTCACCTCTCAGACACTATTTCTATTAGGAGTGATTTTCAGGGTGAAGGGATAGCTCTTCATGGCAGATCACACCCTTGTGGGAATGTGTCTCCTGTGGGGGCCCGTTAGTCGCACCGGGAATTCGTCTGTTGAGAACAGCTCCCTTGGGGATCTTTCTTGGGTCGGCGGGTCTGTGGAAGAGAATGTCTTGATAGGGTCTCTCTCCAGCATGCCTCCCTTAGGGACATCTGCAGGCTCCACCCACCCAACCTTGCTCGCCCCCCAGCGCGGGCAGCGGTGGCCGAAACCGGGCTCCGGCTCCCAGACGCAGTGACGGCGCCGGGCTCGCCCCGCTTCGCTCCGCCCCCCCCCCCCCCCCCCTCGCCGGCCGCCGCCGCGGTCCCCGAGGCTTCTCTCTTCTTCCCTCCTCCCTCCTCCCTCCTGCTGCTGCCGCCGCCTCCCTCCTCCCTCCCCCGGACCAAAGTCGCCGCCGCCATGGACGATTCGGGCCTGATCCGCCGCCGGAGGCTGCAGGTACGCCGCAGCCCGGGCTCCAAGGAGGGGATGGGGTCGGTGCCCTGGGGCGGGGCCGAGCAGGAGGCAGGAGAACTTGCGCCAGGGTCGGCCGTGGCGTCCCTTCCTCCTGCCGGAGGATGCTCTGGGCCAGGAGTGCAGTGGCCGCGCGTCCTGGCAGCGCGGACCCCGCCCCTCAGGCGTCGCCCCGGTATCCCGGAGGCTGCTGGAGGGGCTGCATCCTAGCGCGCCCCCTCGAAGACGGCCTGGGCGGCGTCTAGCCCCACCGGAGTCGGAGGCAGCGGGGCCCAGGTCCTTGCCAAGGCGCTTGGACAGTCCGGGGGTGAAGGTGCGGCAAGTAAAGTTATTGCCCCAGGGTTCGAGCCCCTCGGGGCTACCAGCGCTTCAGCAGCTGTAAACATGTTTGTTCGTCAGCCTCGCCCCTCACCACCCAGAGCCCTTCCTAGGCTTGCTACCTTGAGTCCTCCATTCACCTGTCTGGCCACTAGGACTCTTCCTAGTGCCCTAATTGGACAGCACCTAGACAGCCTCCCCACTTTCCATTTCACCCCCTCCACTACAATACTCCCACCACACACACACATACACACACCCGCCCGCGATCCCTAAGTCCAGCCCAGCTTGTGGGTGGGCGGGAGCGATTTTTAGCTCCTTGCGGTCTTCGAAGATGTTGGTCGCCAGGCTGCGCAGGCGCAGGAGGCGTGAGTCCACTGCACAGAGTGGGATACTGAGGGCTGTTGGAGTGAGGGAAGGCTGGAACAAATCCAGTCCTCAGGAGTTCCCACCCCCAAGGTAGGTAGGGATTTTGAGGCTGAGAGTGTCCTCTGAGATTTGGGTCTTGCCCTTCTGAGTTCATAAACTAACCTCATAGGGGAAATGATGAATGCTTCACGCCTAGGGCTACCTAGAAGCTGGTCCTTCTGAGCCTCCTTGGAGGTCAGCCCCTGCTTGTACTCCAGAATTTAGATTAAATCAGTTATGATCTCAATCTCTTGTCCAATTGTAGGCTCCCTTAATGCACCATTTCCGAGATCAAGACCACGGAGAAATGACCAGTAGGGCAGGGGGGAAAATGAGATTCAGACAGTAAGAAGGACATCCCAGGAGGCTGGCTGCTCCTGATTGGAAAGCTAATTTGCTTTCAAACAGGGTGTCAGAGCCTAGGCTCCTCGACGCCTTCCTCGCTTTCCCTCCTGCTCCCAGGGTAGATCAGGAGTGTGAGTCTTGAGTACGGGAGGGAGTTGCTGCAAAGCCAGAGTAAGTACTACAGTGGTTAAGCCGGTCCAAGCCACCCGCTCCTCGCTGAAGGATGGAAGTGGGCGGGGCCTGAACGGGGTGTGTCCCGGTCCTTCAAACAGGCGCCGAATCCCATTGGCTCAACGCCACGCGGGACTCTGTCTCTGACGCAAGACTCCGCCCCCAACCTCTATATTACCGCTCACCCACTCAGCTCAGGACATGCTATAGGCAGGGAATCTCTGCTCTCCAGAAGGCAGCCACCTCTCCCTTCTGAGCTAGCCGCTTTAATGCCTGGGTCCACTCACGCGCATCGGTTCCACCGCTAAGCAAATGTCCCACTATCCCCCAGCGCCAGAGTCGCCTGTGTGCAGTTAGGATCTTAAATAGGAAGAGCTGGTTGTTGGACTGTCCTGCCACAGCACCCTGCCGGGAGAAGCAGAATTGCTCTTCAGCTTGGATGGGGGGGGGGGGGGAGGTGGCTTTTGACTCATATGACTCCAAGGATCTAAATTTCTCTTCTTTCTTTATTTTTATCTTTTTTTTTTTTTAAATGTGTTGACATAGCGTCTCACAGTGTGGCCCTGTCTGTCCTGGAACGAGACCAGGCTGATCTCAAAATCACAAAGATTGCCCTGCCTCTGCCTTCCGAATACAAGGAAGATGTAAATTTCTATGACTCTGGTTTGTCCCTTTTCTCCACTCTGGAATGTTTATGGTGAGCCTGCAGATGAGATCCATTCTGAGGACTTCTTTCGGTGGTATTTAAGGATTCTTTTCCTTTCCTTCCTTCCTTCCTTCCTTCCTTCCTTCCTTCCTTCCTTCCTTCCTTTCTTTCTTGTTTGTTTTTCAATACAGGGTTTCTCTGTGTAGTTTTGGTGCCTGTCCTGGATCTTGCTCTGTAGACCAGGCTGGCCTCGAACGCACAGAAATCCGCCTGGCTCTGCCTCCAGAGTGCTGGGATTAAAGCCGTGTGCCACCAACGCCTAGCTATTTAAGGATTCTTTAAGGCTTATCATGCCTTTTACAAACGTCTGGAGACCTTGGCCCCATGCCTGAAAAATCCAGGACTTAGTTTTGATAGGTCCATTAAGGCTGCTTAGCTTGGTAAGCTAAAACCAATTCACCTCAAACCTGTCATTATAAGAGAGAAAATCTGATGTGGATTTCTGGTCACTGTGGCTCCCCAGGGCAGGCTGCCCTTTGATCCTGCCCTGTCTGAATGCCCTTTGCACATGGAAGTGGTAGGATCCTCTGAGACATTTTCTGCTGTGTGGCATGTCTATTAATAACTCTTCTTTTTTTCTTATTAATACGGTATTTATTTGTCTTCTCTCTGTCAAATCCTGAGCCAAGCATTTTCCCCAGACTTCCTGGGGAGGTACAGGAAAAGGAACATACAGGGCAGACGGGACAGGAAAGCTATGGGAGGAGGAAGTGGAGACAGCTGCTTCACATGGCGAAGAGGATGAGAAAGGCCACCATTAGGCAGAAGAGCCCCATGGCCTCTGAGAGGGCAAAGCCCAGAATCGCATAGGAGAAGAGCTGTTGCTTCAGAGAAGGGTTCCTGGCATAACCAATGATGAGGCTCCCAAAAGAGTCCCAATCCCAGAGCCAGCCACCCCAACTGTAGCAGCCCCAACCCCAGTGAACTTGGTGGCTGTGTCGCTGTCCCTAGATATGAGGCTGGTTTGGAAGCTGCGACTAGGAATAAGTGAGGTCAGAGGTCGAGGGACTGCCAAGCTGCTGGGGCCCTCATCTGTCCACGTCTGTGGTCGGTTCAACTCCACTGCAGACAGTAGACGACTCAGCAGCTGAGAGGCTCCTGATCAGGAAGCAGGTGGAGATGAATGTGGAGCAGGCATACATTTTCAGGGGGAGGGGCCAAGGCAGGAGAGCTGCTCCCAGGGTAGAGAGGACAGAGAGGGTTAATAACTCTTCTTATGACTTACTACTTTAACTTTTTTAGTTTTACTTAAAAATTTTTATTACTGTTTTTTAAATTCATGTGTAAGGATGTTTTGCCTGAGTGTGTGTCTGTGAACTACCAGTAGCCAGGGATCATGGAGGCCAGAAGAGGGCATTAAATCCTCTATAACTGAAATTTCAGACAGCTGTGAGCTGCCATGTGGGTACTGGGAATCGAATCTGGGTCCTCTGCAAGAGCAAGTGCTCTAAACTGCTGATCTGTCTCTGCAGTTCGTATTTATTCACTTATTTATATGTGTGCGTGTGTGTGTGTGTGTGTGTGTGTGTGTGTGTGTGTGTGTGAATGTATATAAATGTATATATGTGTATGTGTGTGAGCATGTGCCACAACTTTTAGGAGGAGATTCTTTCCTTTTACTGTGTGGGTCCTGCGGCTGGAACTTAGGTGACTAGGCTTGTTAGAAAATGCCCATAACAGCTGAGCATCTCTTCTGCCCTTGACTTACTACTTGCTGAGCATACGCCAAGTGCCAGGTACCACCGTAAAACGGTAAAACCTGCATCACCTCACAGACTTCTCTAGGAGACAGGGGTACTTGGGAAGGTCATTTGCCAAGGTCACAAAAGGCAAATCTGGGATTTTTTTTTTTTCTTCAAGACAGGGTTTCTCTGTGTAACAGCCCTGGCTGTCCTGGATCTCGCTCTATTGACCAGGCTGGCCTCGAACTCACAGAGATCCGCCTGGCTCTGCCTCCCGAGCGCTGGGATCAAAGGCGTGCGCCGCCGCCGCCGCCGCCGCCGCCGCCGCCGCCGCCGCCGCCGCCGCCGCCAGCGTCACCACCACCCCGGCAAATTTGGGATTTTCAAGCTAGGATTTTTATCTCTGAGAGACCATAGAAAGGATTAGGATTTACTTGTTTTTGTTGTTTTTGCACATGTATGTATGTGGTGTGCATGCACGTGTACATGTGTTGTATGTGTATGAACACACATGGGTGTTCACATGTGTGTTTAGGCTGGAGGTTGATACCTGCTGTCTTCCTCCACTGGTCTCTTTAGTTACTGACCCCAAAGCTTGATAACATGGGCTAGCCTAGCAAGTCAGTTTGCCCCGGAGATCCCTTATCTCCACCCCAACCCCATCACTGGGATTGATGGAGACCCCTCATGCCCATCTAGCATTTGGATACATTTTGGGGAGTAGAATTCTGGTTCTTTTTTTTTTTTTCAAAGATTTTGTTTATTTTTATTTATTGAGATAGGGTGTCTCTATGTAGACCAGGCTGGCCTTGAATTCACAGAGATCTGCCTGTCTATACTTCCAGAGTGATGAGATTAAAATTGCACACCAGCATGCCCTGCAAGAAGTATTTTATTTTTAAAAAACTGTTTTAGTCACGCATATGTGTGTGGGTATTTGCACATGAATACCAGTGCCCACAGAGGTCGGAGGTATGAGATCCCTCTGGAGCTTGGGTCACAGGCAATTGTGAGCCACCTGTAGTGGGTGCTGGGAATTGAACTCAGGTCCTCAGGAAGAGCCGTATGTGCTCTTAACCACTGAGCATCTCTCCGGTCATGGAATTCTGGGTCTTAAACTCGTCATTAAGGTCCTTATCCACTGGGAAGTCTCACCAGCATC